AAGGAAAAGGAAAGGGCAGGCTTTAAAATGAATGAATGAATGAATAAATGAATGAAAATATTAGCTCTGGAAGTCTCATTAAGGAACTGATCCAGCAGTTTTCAGCATGGAGTCCATATGCCCCAGTGTCTTCACAGAGACCTACCTTGGCACATATCAGGCTTCCTGACTATCCGGATTCCATTTTTAAGACCATTTTAAATTGTATTTTAAATTGGGAGATGGCCCGGCTGTTCTTTCTTTGGATTCAAAAGAGCAGCTTTCTCTGTTGATGCTCAGAACCACATCCCTCGGCCTTGTCATCATTTTTGGTTAGTTAATTTTCTGTTAGTGTCTCCAAATTGCCTTCTGGGAAACGAGTGTTTTGTGACTATGTCCACCATGACAGTCCTTTCATCCCCTCTATCCATTTCATGAGAACTGCAAGGACATTCTCCAAATTCCAACTGTGTCCAACAACCCAAAAAGATTAGGAAATAACCCTGCCCTGAATAGAGAAGTTCTTTTAAATTACATTGTGTTTCTCCTCCTTCATGTGCCTCTTAAAGCTTTCTTACTCATCTGCCGTCTTTTCTCCTCCCCTTCTTCTTTCACACTTATACTAATTTGAGGGCTGTACGTTTGTTCTCTTGGGATGGCTTCCACCCTGAAAGACAGCCAAGAAATATTTTAAATAAATAGATAGATGTTTATCCTGTTTCCAGCTGCCAGTCTCTTGCATCTCTCCCTTCTGCTGCTTTTAAATTCACTTCCTCCTATAGCAGCTTCCTTCCCTTACTCCCTTTTCCTTTATTTCCAGACGGTGATGATTGGTAATCCTATTAGCTTGCTCTCTAACCAGCCCTTGACTATTGCAGTGTACATAGTACAACCACGGCACAGGGCTGGCAGCAAAGATGCACTTGACTGAGGCCCAGATCTCAACACTAGTTTGATCCAAGTCCCAGTCATTTGAATGGGCCAACAGTCTTTTTGCCCCTCTTCATCATGGTTCTATGGTTCCGTCGTTATTTGTTTTTCGGCGCCAGGCAAAGACCTTTTTATTTAAGCAACATTTTAAATGCTAATACAACTGAATTTTATCTGGCCAAGGCGGCTTATTTTATAATGTGTGTTTTAAATTATGATCATTTTATATGGATATTTTAACTTATTGTTTTATCTAGTGTTGTAAGCCGCCCCGAGGCTTCGGCGAATGGGGCGGCATAAAAATGTTTTAATAAATAAATAAATAAATAAATAAATAAAATCATACTGCCAAGAAACGAAGCACAATTTTTGTCCAAGGAACACACACAAACCCCAAATACTAGTAAGCCAAGGTAATCTCATAGGTACAACATGGTGGGAAACCCTAAAGAACATGAAGCTGGTGACAACCTGGTGCCCCAGAGGCCATAATTCCTTAAAGATGAATTAAAACAAGCAGACCTGGCCAGACAATGTGGTATGAGAAGGCAAATACTGTATCACTTGCACGACAGTGAGAAATTCAACAGGCACCTGATGCCAGAAGCTGCGCTGCTTAAGTTTTTCTTTGTTGATAGTATGGAGATTTTCTTAGGGGAAAAAAGTGGGATTCCTATTTGTCTCAAAAATCCCACTCCAGTCATTTCCTTGCAAGTAACCCCATATTTCTTCTAGGATTTGGATTTGGATTGGGTTGTAAGCCGCCCCGAGGCTTCGGCAAGGGGCGGCATATAAATGTAACAACAACAACAACAACAACAACAACAGACCTTTTGTAGAAGTGACCATTTAGCATGGTACTAATATTGTAGCACTTCTGCTTCAAGTTTCAAGGAAGTCTAGCTGTATTAAGAAGAATAAAGCTGCAAACCTATAGCTACTTACTTTGGAATGAGGGACTTACTTATGAGTAATTGTGCATAGCAGGACATCTTATGAGTAGGATAGCTGTAAATTGGCAACTTTAGTTAAATTTGAAGCAAGCCCCCTGAACACAGTAGGACTGGTCTATGAGTAAGTACTCATAGGATACGACTCATACCTTATAACTTGATCCCTTAAGCTGCAGATAAATGCCACAAATGCAATTGCTAGGTAAGATGCTAGCTTTTCCTGGCAGCACTCTTGTGCTTTAACATCTGAGCAGAAATTCTAGTAAGCCTTCCCATTACTTCATATTAGGAAAAGCCACCCTAATGTAGGAGCCCTGCCAGGAAAAAAGGATGTAGCCCTGGAAAGAAGAGGTGGGATTCTTAATTCTGAAACATTATCACAGGCGTAGTGGAGGAACAATGCTGAGCAGTGCTGTTCTGGGACTTCTTTTGGAACAGGAATGATACTGCCAGCTGCCCCAGTACTGGGGTCATGATGGACTCTCTTTGCTCTGGCAGCTGAATAACTTGATAATGAGGCTTTCAAGGTTTATTATGGAAAGTAACAGGAAGAGTCATTACGCCATACCCTTTAGTGTGACATATTAGCACTGAGAATGAAGAAGATAATCAAAGAGGCTGACCATTGCTTTCCTTTTCTTTGTTGAGTTCCTACTTAATCCCAGCAAATGGTGAAACCTCTTTGAAATATTGTTTGCATTTCTAATTAAAAGTTCAAGGTGATGGTGAAGCTGGCGGAAGTAACTATTCTGTTTTACAAGCTGAATTTACACAACCAGAAGCAAGCATCACTGTGTTTAATAGCACTTACTTCTAGCTAACTCTGCACAGGATTGTAGCTGAACCCCAAAAAGAAATTGTGGGAATGATCAGTGGTTGGTTGGTTTGAATCTTTGCCTAGGATGGAGCATTTTAAAGTAAAGTGTTAACTCCTTTGAGTATAAATAATAGAAAATCACCCCCCACCCCCATATCCTAGGATGGTGATGACTTTTGACTATGGATTTCTTTTATTCCCATGAGTACATCCACACTGCCACAGTTAACACTAAATAGATAATAAACACTTCACCGGTGATTATGATTCAGCCATAAAGTTTACTATGTGATCTTGGACCACTAGATTTTGGATCTAATTTTAACCTACTTTGCAGGGTGGTACCAGGTAAAACAGGTACGGTATCCTGAGCTTCATGTATGAAATTGTGGGACAGGAAAGTCACAAGCATCTTTCTGTAAGTCATGATAACCATCCACCACATGAAATTAATTATGGTCCTTTGGGGTAATTGCTTGTGACAGATAGATGATATAAATACAGATATAGATATAGATAAAGATACGGACACACAGTTTCCTGTAGGGCACAATCCTACGCATGTTTAGACAGAAAAACAAGTCACACAAAGCCATGCTGGGAGTTACAGGATTTCTTTCCTCACAGAATAAAAATGCAAGAAATATATCAAAATTAATAAGTTTAATTGCTTCTCAGACTGTTGATTAAGAACAAGTGTAGTATTAAAATAAACAAATGAATGATATGAATTATGGGTTTATCATGGAAACCTGTGCTTCTTGTAGTCTTCAAGAATACATGAATAGAATAGCCTTCTATTCTACTTGCATGGAATTTATTTCGAGATGAGTCTCGGAATCTCAGTGCAAGAGATTCAACAAATGTGAAGTAAAAAAAAAAAAAACGGGTGAGATGCTCCTTGAACACTTAAAGTCTTTGTAGCTGCAAAAAATGGATTGGATGAGAGCTAGCAACTCAGTCCTGGTACAACTGAGATGCTGTTAGAGGGTTCTTCTGACTGGATGCAAGGGATTTAACATGTTCTAATGAGATTGAGCACCCTTGAAGGAGCAGTTTTGTAGCTTGGGAATGCATCTTGAGCTCTTTGTCACTTAAAGTCTAGTGACATGAAGTGCCTTCTACCAGCTTCAGCTGGTGGCCCCACTATATTCCTATCTGGACTGAGATAGCCTGGTTCCAGTGACATATGCTCCAGTGATCTATAAGCTAGATAATTGCAATGTACTCCCTGTGGATTGTGGATCAAGCCCTTGAAGACTTTTCAGAGCAACATGTGGCAGCTGAATCAGTAACAGGCACCAGATGGTTGGGTAATGCCAGAATAATGCCAATTCTGTCCTGCTTGCATTGGCTGCCTGTTTGCTTCCAAGCCCAGTTGAAGGTGCTGGTTTTAACCTGTAAAGCCCTGCATGGCTTGGGACCACAACATCTGACAGAATGTGCCTCCCAAGTGCAAGCTACTTGGACTCCAGGCTATCTTTTCTGCACCAGGTTAAGAGTGTCCTCCACCCCAGGGCATTTGATTAGTTACTCATATATTGGGGCTTATGTTAGCTGCTTATGCAGGTCTCAGGAGTTAACTTGTATAAGCTATTGTCATTTTTAACATTAGTTTTAATTTTTGTATGGTAATCTTTGTATGATTTTTATTCCTGTTTGCATTTGATATTGTTTATTATGTCTTCTTGTGAACTGCCCAGAAAGTTTTGACTATTGGACGGTAGGGAAATAAAATACAGAAACATTACTCTGTCCCTTATTAAAAAAAGATTTAAACACTGTCCCATTTTGTCTTTAAAAGACCTACAACCCCGATGTCCCGCCCCGTCTATCTGGCAACCTCTCGCGCTGAACTTTTAGTCTGGCCAGCGGCAGCATCTCCAAGCGCAGCGTTGCTCAACCCGCGGCGCTCCAGGGGCGCTGGACCGACCACCCCTCTGGGGAGGCTGCGAAGCGCAGGCCGGCGCACCTGGAGCGCCCCAGGTTAGGTGAGGTAGCGCGAGGGGCAGCGCGCACGCGCGCGCGCGCGGCTGCTTTCGGAGGCGGCCGGCGCCAGCCAGCGCGCAGCCCGCGGGTGGGCGCACGCGCTCTGGCTTCTTCTTGCTCGGCCTCCTCTGTGTCTGTGCCGAGAGGCGGAGGAGAGGAGCAGGAGCAGGAGGAGGAGGCGGCGGCGGAGGAGAGCCGCACGCGCAATCCTCCGGGGCTGCCTCTCGTTCAGCTGCCGCTCTGCTTCACAGCGTGCGCGACCAGTCGAGCGGCGGCGTCGCTGCGGCAGCGGACGAGGAGGGAGAGCCAGCCAGCCAGCAGCCAGCCAGCCGGCCAGCCAGCGCAGCCTGCAGCTCAGCCCGGCAGCGCAGCCGTGCGCCGCGCCGGAGTTCGCGCTGGTGGCAACAGCGGGCGCTCCCGGGAGCCGGGCTGGCGGGAGCGCATGGAGCCCTGGAAGCAGTGCGCCCACTGGCTCATCCAGTGCCGGGTGCTGCCGGTCAACCACCGGGTGACCTGGGACACGGCGCAGGTGTTCGACCTGGCGCAGACGCTGCGCGATGGAGTCCTGCTTTGCCAGCTGCTCAACAACTTGCGTCCTCACGCCATCAACCTCAAGGAGATCAACCTGAGACCTCAGATGTCCCAGGTAAAGTGGGCCGGCGCGTGCCTCTTTCGGCGGCATTGTTCCCAGCCCCCGCCCCCCCCCCCCCTCCCCTATTATTAATCGCCCGGTAGGTGTCTTTGTTCCAGTGCACGAGCCCTTTTGTCACTTTTGTTTGCGTCTTGCTTTCAGTTTGCTCCTCAGCCCGCTCGGATCGGGGGATGCTTGAAATGGGCAAGGGCGTCTCACGCTGCGCCTTCGGGGCTGGGGACGGCGTGTCCAGTGTTTTGCAGGATGGTTGGTTGTGTAGAATAAAGAAAGAAAGGTTAGAGATCCCTTTGAAGCTCCAGGAAGCTGGAAGTTCTTTTGGAAAGAAGCACATCGGTTATGTAGCTCCATGGTCTGGAAAGAGGAAGAAAAGGAGGCACCTTTAATATTAATAATGGCGATTATTTTATTTCTCTCTATTCCCTAGTCTGTGATTCAGTGTTTCACTGTTGTCACTGCATTTCCTTTCCGTTGTTACTTTTTATAGGAGGTTGTTGGGGGGATGGGACAAAAGCGTTATCAAAATACTTCTCTTTCATGATTTAGCATGTTTTTATATTACTTTGCAAACAAAAGTGCACCATTTTTCTTTAACTTTGTTTTTCTATTTCTTCCTGTATTCACTCGGGTCAGCAATTTTTCTCTTTTCAAAAAAAAAAAAAAAAAAAAGAAAAGAAAAAAAGGAAAAAGCCAAAAGAGGAACTGTGTCATAAAAAGTGAGGCATCTAGGAAGTTGACTGCCTCCATTACCGTTATCTGTAATTACAGTAGACAGGGAAGTGATAAAAAGAGAGCCCAGAGCAAAAAGACTGCTGTTGCCATCTGAAGGCTCTGTGAGCGGGCTCGAACATTTATTCACTTGTCTCTTGCTATAATGCAAGTAAAGAGACCTAGGATGATGCCAGAACAGTCTTTGCAAGACATCTGGCCTCCAGAGTGTGAAAAAAAAAAGATCCAAAGGGAAGTGGGAATTGCTCTTCTGAATTTTGGCATGTTGAAGCACCAAGGGTGGACATGGTTGGGCACCTGCTGAGGGCCCACAGCAGAACGGGAGTCCTCTGGAAGGAGTCCCTCTTCACCTTGGAAGATGCTTCTTCACCTGCCTCTTCTGTAGAAACATAGAAGCAGAGTGAGTCAAAAGGGGCATCCTCGGCTTTCTAGTCTGACCCCCGGCTCCAGCTGGCTCTGCTCATGGCATGCCTGCTGTGTGCATGTCCAGCCTATCCTTGAACACCCTCACCAAAGGGGCTTCACCCACCTCCCGTGGAAGCCCATTCCATACCCTTGGGGCAATAACCATCAGGAAGTACTTCCTGGCATCTGGCTTAAATCTTGGTTCCTTGAGCTTTGCTCCATTGGAACATGTCCCGCCCTCCACTGCAGGGGAAAAAGGGTCATGCCCCACCTCTGCATGGCACCCCCTCACATACCTGTATGTCTCTAACAGGTCCCCTCAGCGTCTCCTCAAGGCTGAAAAGACCCAGCCCTCTCAGTCTTTCCTCATATGGCTTCCCCTGCAAACCAGCCACCAGCCTTGTGGCCCTTTGCTGCACTGATTCCAATCTTGCTATATCCCTCTTGTAATGAGGGGCCCAGAATTGCACATAGTACTCCAGCTGTGGGCTCACCAGAGCCCTATAGAGTGAACAGCAGTGTAGTGAGAAGGGAGAGCAATGGGTAGTCTGCCTTCTCACGGTATCTCTGCCGGCAGTCAAGCGGGTGAATGGTATGGTGATGGGGAACGGGGTGAAGAACCTGGTGACAATGGTAGTGCGGAAGTAGAGATCTGGAGAGGGGTGATCCCCCAAAGGTGTCTTGCCCTGCAAAACCTGGAGCTAGCGCTGTCTTGTATGGTACATTATACGGAGGCTTGAGGATGAGGTGCACTGTGGTGGTGAAGGCAGTTGGGAGTATTTTGACCTAGACGGAGTCAGGGGCACAACTCATCCAACGTGGTCACATGCTGGACCCCTTGATTTCAAAGGGAGTGCTGGAAGTGGGCTTAACAGGCTCCCCATTGACGTGCTGCATGTTCCTCGATATCTACAGAAAAGGAAGTGACCCTCTTTCTAAGTCAGGTTTCCTGTGTCTGGACAGTTCAGTTGCCTTTATGTTGGGTTTTAAAAATGATTGCATGTGATGTGTTAGAGGCACATCTCTGCAGCCATCTGGGGTAGTTTTGTTGTTTGGTTCATTCTTTGGAAGCTGCCCAGAGACTTTTTTAGTAATTGTGACAGCATACAAAAACCTATTATTATTATTATTATTATTATTATTATTATTATTATTATTATTGATAATGATAATGATATAGTGGGTAGAGGGATGGAGGCCCGGGTTCTAGGCCATGGAGTTCATTAGGTGACTGCATCCACTCACTCATTCTCAGCCTAAGTGACCCTACATGATTACTCAGGGGAGAAAATGAAACGAGTGAGACAAGTTAGCCACACTGCTATCTTGTCCTCTTACTTTCAGTTGTATGTACAGCACATTCCTAAACATGTTTAGTCATATCAGGCCCCCTGATTGAACTGTGATTGTGTTTGTTGCTTTCAGATTCAGTGGAAATCGCAGCAATGGTGCTGAACTATCAGCCCTTCTGATAGCGATCAGGAGGTAGGCAACTTGGTCTGTGTCTCAGGTGCAAAATACCTTGGGCTGGCCCTGGTGGGACTTGCTCCCAAGCGGGTATGTGCTGGACTGCAGTCATGCCTAAACTTAGCTGGATGGTAACTTTTAATTTTAATCCTGGTTTAATTTCCACTGAAGCTGAAGAGACTGAATTGCTTCAGTCCAAGTACACCACACTTTCACTGAACTGCAGGCATGCTCTTTTCTCCTCCTTGAACTTAAAATCTGTAGGGTGAGAGATCTGTATTTTTCCCCTTCCATTTAGTCGCATCTCAGTATGTCTCTGCTTCTTGCTGTTAAGTTACTTGCTGCACAGTGGTCCAACTGAAAATCAACAGCACAGTGTTGCCATGATGACGATCATACAGAATGTTTATGTAAGATGTTCAGCTTTTTATATAATGCTTCTGAGTGCTCATTTATGACTGAATCTAATAAGGTAGGTCAGGCTTCTTACTAGCATCTCTGATTAAGGGTAAGACCACCTAGTAAGTTTATGACAGAATGAGATTTGAACTGAAAACTTTCTGGATCACATTTCAGTCTTTTACAGTGCAATCCTATACACGCCTGCTCAGAAGTTAGTCCCACTGAATTCAGTGGGGTTTACTTCCCAGTAAGCAGGTATAGGATTACAGCATAAGCTGCTAACCTAGCTCTATTTTATTTTTATTTATATCCTGCCTTTTTCCTACAAAGGGCTCAAGGCAGCTTACATCATCTCTCCTCCTCCATCTTATTCCCACAACAACAACCCTGTGAGGTAGGTTGGGATGAGAGTCTGTGACTGGCCCAAGTTGGCTCCATGGCTGAGCGGGGACTCGAACCCGGATCCTCTGAGTCTCAGTCCCATGCTCCTAACCACTACATCACACTGGCTCTACATTCAGATGCTTGCTCTGTGGTCATTGTTTATTAGTCATTTATTGTTGCAACCCTTTGGGTGTGACATTGAAGCAAGTTCAGGTGGGCTTATGTAGTATTTAAATCACTGTGATGTGCAGTCCTCGATCTTCCGCCTGCTCACATTCATTTTGCATTCAGTTACAGCCTCAGGGATATCTGTATACCACATGCATGTTTTTAATCCCCTCCACCCCATTTTATTTACATGGACTGCGTTCTCTGGAAATTCAGTTGTGATACCAGCTGTGCTCCAGACCCCTGTGTTGGAGCATGTGCCATTCTTCTGTAAGATGAAAAACCATGATCCACGTTGTGCTTGGTATGTTTCTCTTCCATGGCAGAGACTGGGAAAGCCCCCCGGGGGTGGAGAAGTCATATATCAGTGCCACTGAGTGGTGGCCATTGGCCTTAAACCATCTTTTGCCATTTGAAACCCCAAATTGTCCCTTTTGAATTTGCGTCTTCAATAAGACCTCCTGCAGTGAAGGAGATTGTGACTACACCATAGATTTCCTGGGAGCTACGTCTATTGAACTGAACAGGACTGATCTTGGAGCGGAAATGTTTAGGATTGCACTGCTAGTCTGACAATCTCTAGAGCAGGGAAGTACAACCCGACATCCTGGATATCTTGTACTACAACTTCCATGTGCCCCAGCTAGCAATAGTTATAGGTTATGAAATTGTAGTCCAGAGCATCTGAGGCCATTGGAGACCTAGGCTGCAATACATGAGAAAGGGTTAGCGACAATGTAATATTGTCCATAATTTCTCATGGAATATAAAATGCATGTTGATATATCATGAGTGTGAGTTGCTGCATAAGTGTGTATTCAGGGTTTGTGCTTCAAAGCATGATAGCTAATTGATATTATGGACTCGGGTTGCTAACTTCTGACTTGGAGACAGCGCCTGTCGCTTTAGCAGCACCTGGGCACTAGTTGTTTGGGAATACAAATTAATGTTATTTTGTTACTTGTTACTTGGGCATAAAAGCTCACCTGGCTTAATGCTGTATCAGTCAATTTATCTGCTGTCCACTGTCATGAAAAGGATTTCTGTTCTACTTCCCAGCAGGCAGGGTGGGAGCAGTACCTTGTAATAGTAGCAACATGCTGACGGCCAGAGCGGTTTCTTGGAAGCTACTGTCTTTGTCTGTGCTGCATTTCAGGGGTACATGTACAACATCAGAGATGGTCCTGGAGGCTGGTGTTCAGGCATGCTAACACAAGGCATCCCGTGCATCCGTGCAACAAACCTGAGAGTTTGTGGTAGCCCTGGGTCAGTCATACAGTACACAGAACTCCATCACCTTTGAAACACAAATACACATCCATATGAGACTAAATTTGAATGCATGTCTGTAATCATTAAATTATTTGGGCACATCCTAAGAAGGCAAGACTTCCTGGAGAAGACAATCATACTAGGGAAAGTTGAGGGCAAAAGAGGAGGAA